TTTTGTACAGTTGTAGGGAGTATTATCTGTTACAGAATGGTGAGTTGTTGTACACTTGTAGGGAGTATTATCTTTTACATAAGGGTGAGTTATAGTACATTTGTAGGGAGTATTATCTGTTACAGAATGGTGAGTTGTTATACACTTGTAGAGAGTATTATCTGTTACATATGACCGAGTTGTTGTGCAGTTGTAGGGAGTATTATCTGTTACATAAGACCGAGTTGTTGTACAGTTGTAGGGAGTATTATCTGTTACATAAGACCGAGTTGTTGTACAGTTGTAGGGAGTATTATCTGTTACATAAGACCGAGTTGTTGTACAGTTGTAGGGAGTATTATCTGTTACATAAGACCGAGTTGTTGTACAGTTGTAGGGAGTATTATCTGTTACATATGACCGAGTTGTTGTACAGTTGTGGGTAGTAGTATTTGTTACATGAGGGCGAGGTGTTGTACAGTTGTAAGAAATATTATCTGTTACGTAAGGGTGAGTTAGTGTACAGTTGTAGGGAGTATTATCTATTACACAAAGGTGAGATGCTGTACAGTTGTAGGGAGTATTATCTGTTACATAAGGGTGAGTTGTTGTCACTCGGTGTTCTGTCTTAAATTCATTTGATTTCTCTCTGGTCTACACCTTAGTATGTGCGATTCTATAAAATATGGTGTACCTCAAGGTTCAGTGCTGTGACCATTATTGTTTATTATCTAAGGAAAAATTTCTTCATCATATAGAAATGTTAATAGTCTTATTGATTAACTGAATGTTTATTTATAACTAAAGAGAGGGTTAACGTCACAATGTTTTAGATATATACCTAAAACGGTTAGCTGAAGGACAGGGTCAAAAATGTGTCGTGGAATTTGATTTTGATTCATTCACAATAAAAAATTAGGTATAGTCCTTTAACTTACTTTACTTTAATAAGAATAACATAAAAAACACTGCCAAAGTATTACATCTTTACATTTTTGGCTAATATATGAACAACTTTGACAATGACATACTAACATTTCTTATAACAAATAACATTATAATTATTGTTCTCTGTAGCCACATTCCTCAGTTGTGTACGACTGATTCCGCTCTACATTAAAACCCTTTGCCGTCTTGTTTGGTTTTGAAATATTAATGTAACAGGAGTTTGTGGATGAGTCACGCAGGAGAGGGCAGAGGCTGGGAGAACAAACAGACCAGAGATAAGACCGTGACCGTTCACTGGGAAACACGGACTATTATGTGATAATAATGTACAGCTTTAGAACGAAATGCAGAAAACACCCACGTCTGGGATCCACATTTATCTGAACATTTGCTCCATAAAAAAGTTCTCCTGCAGGATTAATGGGATTCAGGTTCAGTCGGTTTGGAGGCATTCATTCTGATGACTCAGCTTTTTCTTACCCCATTAGTGGATAGACGTTTGTTGCAGCCCTGGTTTTAGTCCCAGTTTAGTCTTGGTTTAGTCCTGGTTTTAGTCCTACTTTAGTCTGGGTTTAGTCTTGGTTTAGACGTGGTTTTAGTCTCACTTTATTCTGGGTTTAGTCTTAGCCTAGACCTGTTTTTTGTCATACTTTAGGTCTGGTTTTAGTCCTGCTTTAGTCCTACTTTAGTCTTGGTCTAGACTTGGTTTTAGTTCTACTTTAGTCTTGGTCTAGATCTGTTTTTAGTCCTACTTTAGTCTTGGCCTGGACTTGGTTTTAGTCCAACTTTAGTCTGGGTTTAGTCTTAGCCTAGACCTGGTTTTAGTGCTACTTTAGGTCTGGTTTTAGTCCTACTGTAGTCTGGGTCTACTCTTGGTCTACACCTGGTTTTAGTCCTACTTTATTCTGGGTTTAGTCTTGGTCTGCATCTGTTTTTTGTCATACTTTAGGTCTGGTTTTAGTCCTACTGTAGTCTGGGTCTACTTTTGGTCTACACCTGGTTTTAGTCCTACTTTAGTCTGGGTTTAGTCTTGGTCTGCATCTGTTTTTTGTCATACTTTAGGTCTGGTTTTAGTCCTACTGTAGTCTGGGTCTACTTTTGGTCTACACCTGGTTTTAGTCCTACTTTAGTCTGGGTTTAGTCTTGGTCTGCATCTGTTTTTTGTCATACTTTAGATCTGGTTTTAGTCCTACTGTAGTCTGGGTCTACTCTTGGTCTACACCTGGTTTTAGTCCTACTTTAGTCTGGGTTTAGTCTTTGTCTGCATCTGGTTTTATTCCTACTTTAGTCTTGGTCTGGACTTGGTTTTAGTCCTACTTTAGTCTGGGTTTAGTCTTAGCCTAGACCTGGTTTTAGTGCTACTTTAGCTCTGGTTTTAGTCCTACTGTAGTCTGGGTCTACTCTTGGTCTACACCTGGTTTTAGTCCTACTTTAGTCTGGGTTTAGTCTTGGTCTGCATCTGATTTTTGTCATACTTTAGGTCTGGTTTTAGTCCTACTTTAGTCTGGGTTTAGTCTTTGTCTGCATCTGGTTTTAGTCCTACTTTAGTCTTGGTCTGGACTTGATTTTAGTCCTACTTTAGTCTGGGTTTACTTTTGGTCTGCACCTGGTTTTAGTTCTATTTTAGTCTTGGTCTGGACCTGGTTTTAGTCCTACATTTAGTCTAGGTTTAATCTTGGTCTCATCCTGTCAGTCTAAAGGTCATACTGCACAAAATTGATCACTGTGAGCTTCAAGTCATGTTTTAATGCTGTTACCTCCTCAGAAACAGACCTGGAGATGTGTTGTGTTTTCCTGGTTTGTTAGTCAACATCTCTAAAGCTCAAAATGCTCAGTTCCACATTCTGATGTCATGTAGTGGACGTTTTCAAGTTACAAACAGCTCCTTTTCCTTTTAGTTTAATAAAAATGGGCAAATCCAGAGCTGAAATTATCCAAATGATTGTAGCGAAGGTGTCTGAGTTTATGTGGTAATAATGGTAAGTTTAGTCGGATGTAAAAAAATAAAATAAAAAAAGATAAATTGCATTATTATGTAGTAATCAAGATACATAAAGGCAGTTATTTTACATTGGCCATCACAAATATAATCTCCAACAATAAAATGCAAATAAAAATCAATAATTCTTATAAGTAGTGGGGAGAAGAAACACTTTTCTACCCCCACCTACTTTTACAGTCTCATTAAAGTAATAATGTGCTTCCACCAGACTCTTAAAGTCAGTCACATTACTCCAGATACAATAAATGAACAATAAATATGTTGTAGTTTACATTCAGATAACAAATAAACTTAAATTCCTTCTTCTACATACTTAGTTATAATCATTTCTTTATATCTATGTTAAACTTTTTCATATTTGGACATTTTTTGAGCTCCATAAATCTGTGTATCATTCGATTCATTCGTTTTTCAATATAAAACCAAAAATAAGAAAACAAAAAACAACTATTTTCTTAATTAATTATCTCCAAAACTAAAATGAAAAAACGGATAATGATTTGTTTTTTCAGTTTTTGATTTTGTGTTTAAACGAATAATGGAAAAAAATGGATAATGGACTGAACCAGGACTGAACCAGGACTGAACCAGGACTAAACCAGGACTGAACCAGGACTAAATCAGGACTGAACCAGGACTGGACTAGGACTAAACCAGGACTGAAACCAGGACTGAACCAGGACTGAACCAGGACTAAACCAGGACTAAACCAGGACTGAACCAGGACTGAACCAGGACTAAATCAGGACTGAACCAGGACTGGACTAGGACTAAACCAGGACTAAACCAGGACTGAACTAGAACTGAACCTGGACTGAACCAGGACTAAACCAGGACTGAACTAGACTGACTGAACTAGAACTGAACCAGGACTAAACCAGGACTGAACCAGGACTAAACCAGGACTAAACCAGGACTAAACCAGGACTAAACCAGGACTAAACTGTTTTCAGTACTGGTCTGGTCCCGGTCTCAGTCCCAATCTCAATCACGGTCTGGTCCCGGTCTAAGTCTGATCTGGTCCTGGTCCTGGTTCAGTCCTGACTGACCAGGCAAAGAAATAACATCACCATGTCAAGTGTCTTGCTCAAGTCCACAATTTTTGCCATTGTGTTCTTGAGCAAAACACTTTAGTCCACTTGTTCTGAACACACTGGTGTAGTGTTTATAGTCTTTATTTTCCCTCCTGTTGTTCAATTATTATTTTCAATTTGATTTTTTTCTGTACTGAACTAAAGATCGGTTAACCTGAAAACTACCACTTCATGACATCACAAGGTGGAGCAGAGCATTTTGAGCTTTGGAGATGTAGACAGACTAATAATAAAGGGCGACTCAAACGTGTGGGAATGAAACAGGTTTGTTTTTGAGGCGGTATCATCATTTTAACATGACTAAAAGCTCACACGAGTTCATTTTGCGTAAAATTTGACTCTTAAAATGAACCAGTTTTGTTATTCACATTTAACAATTCACAATAACAAGGAGGTACAGTGCCTTTAACTTACTTCACCCAATAAGAATAGCTTAAAAACACTGAAAAAAATATTAAACCTTTACACTTTCAGCTATTATATGGAGCAGCAACTTTGACAATGACATAATTAAGTGCTTTGTGTTGCATTTTTTTTGAAAAGCGCTCTATAATTAAATTTGATTGATTGATACTAACAGTTCTTTTAACAATTCACATTATGATTATAGTTCTTTAGAGAGAAGAACTCAGCCTAAATATGCAGAATTTGTGCGTTAAACATAAACATAAATAATGTGACTGAAACAAAACACAGCTCCAGGTCTGTTTGTGACGAGGAAACAACAACAATAGATCAGAAAATAGCGTAATATTGGAGCTTTAAGGCGAGAAACAGCAGGTGATTAGGAAAAAAACAAAGATATAGTGTAAATTTCAAACTTTACTTGTTTACTTACATAATATTTAGACTTATATACTGACAAAAACTTAGAAAAATCTGTAGTTTAGGCTGTAGTTTCTCCATTTACAGCTGTAAAAGTGGGCGTGTCCCAGTTTGACAGGAACAGGTTTTGATAATAGATTAAACCGAGGAGCGTGTTTGGAAATCCCAGCTGGTGCTTAGTGCTCAGACTGAAGTAGTGAAGTAACCTGCTCTAAACTGAGGCCAGAGGAACTGTCTCAAATACAGGAAATACGCTGAAAAGAGGAAGGAATTTCACTTATCTACAAGGTTAGTTTTCGTTTGTGTTGCTTTAGTTTTTGTCGGCTGTTTGTTTTCTGTTGTTTCTTATCTTTTGTCAGCTGATTTTGACTGGATTTTGAGGAAGATTGGTCCATGTTTAGACTTGTTTAGACCTAATTTTGTGTACATTTAGTTTTGGAAAGTCATATCCTCGTATTTGGTATGTTGTAAAGTCCTGGTTTAGTCTCAGTCCTGGTTGAGTTCTGGTTTAGTCCCAAGATTACTCATGACCTTACTAGACCTGTAATCTTGGTCTGGTTTTCTTCAGTTATTCCAGTTTGCTCTCAAATCCTGGTCTTATCTTGGTTGAGTTTTGGTCAAATCCTGGTTTAGTCCTGGTTTCAGTCATTTGTCCTTAGATTTAGTGTTTTGAAAAATTTGAAAAGTCTGTAAATTTGCTCGTTCTCTAAGGACATTTTGATGTGACTCAGATTTATTTTTGTCCTTTTTTTTTCTAATTTAATGACTCAGTAGTTTTTTAGAAATCAGTGGATATGCTGCTTTGGTCTAGACCTGGTTTTAGTCCTACTTTAGTCTTGATCTAGACCTATTTAGACCTATTTTATTCATTATTTTATGTATTATTGTTGATTGGGTGGACCTGTTTTAGTCCTGAAACATTATTTGTTTTAGTTATCCCCATGTTTTTGACCTGCCTCTTTAGTCTCGAGTCTTTGTTGAGTCCTGGTCCAGACCTGGTTCATCCTGAGATTGTGTTATTTGTGGGTGGACCTGCTCTTCCACTCACGGGAGCTGGATTGGGCAGGGCTGGACTCCTGATCACCTCCAGTGCTTTTGTGTTGGCTCAGTCTAATGTACATATTTAAAGACTCTGTTGGCTAAGGCCTGGCAGTAAAATAAGGATCGGCCTTTTGCGTGGATTAGGAAATGGATTTAATTGTAACAGCGATTAAACCGTTTCAGTATTAGGAAGGTGTGTGTGCTTTTTAAACACAGGGCTGCACAATGGTGAAAGATTTGCACATATCACAACACGTATGGAGGCATTTAGTTTACTTTACAAAGCTTAACGCGGTTTAAACGTGGCCTCCTTTTGTTTCTGACACAGCCTGATTTACTTTAGTGGGAACTGAAAAGGGAACTAACCAGTATTTTAAAATATTCACTATTTATTGCAGGTTTTTTTCTAACCTTGTGCAGAAGACAGATAGAAGACAGATATTTGACACCTGTCTCTTGCTCTTTTTCGCGACTTTAGAATAAATTTTTACCATTTATATTTTTTATTTAATCTTTGTTCTTATTAGTAACAATATCCAAGTCTCATGATACGATATCTTCACGGTATGAATCTCACAGTACGATATTTATTGCGATATCGTGGGAAAGCTCATGATATGGTGGAGAGGCTCACGATTAGGGATGTAACAATATCCAAATCTCTCGGTATGATATTTTCACGATATTCATCTCATGATACGATATTTATTGTGATATTTTGTGGAGGCAAACAAAACTGTGAATATTATGCTACTTTTTTCTCTTAAAATGCTTTGACAAGACTTAATCGAAAAAACTAAGACTTAAAAGTGCTTAGAACTGTTATTTCTTCATGTAGTCTGCACTGAAATGGAGCAAAGGATCATGGTCTATGTAGTTCCCTCTGTCTTTTTTTAAGTATTGCTGCACCATAACTCTTAATTTAAGCAAAGAGACTTGTAATTCGATATATTGTGATACTACGATATTACTCACGATGTTATTGTGAGAACTTTGACGATACGATATCACGATATTTCGGTTATTGTTACATCCCTAGTTATTATATTATATTGTGATGTGGGAGCTACTGTGTCCAAATAATTTCCCTTGTGGATCAATAAAGTTTGTCTAAGATAAATAGAAGATATATATTTTTTAGTTCAAAGAGACTGGACCAATCACAGGGCAGCATTATGGTTTGGGGCGGGGCCAAATGTAAAGTTCCCAAATGAACCAAAACAAACATGGTGACGCCGACTGACATACTTACATACACTGTGCTTTTCTCTCACCTGGATCACTGATCATGTGTAGAACTCAGCTACATTAGTCAGCTCAGGCTTTTCTCATTTCGATAATTTTCACTCCCTTTGGAAACTGGTGCAGTTAAAAAAAAAAAAGCCATGTATTTTAATGTTTACAAGTTAATCCAGGAATCAGTATCTTGACTTATTTTGTTGATCACTTTAAATGAAAAAATGTTTAAAACTTTAAATGTGAAACTGCACTTACTAGCGTTTGTTTACACAAGAACGCTTGCGTGTTAAAATGACAAAATATTTTATCAGAAGCGCCTTTCGTTTAGACCAGGGGTGCCCAATACGTCGATCGCGATCTACCAGTCGATCGCCAAGGTCGTATGGGTAGATCGCCGTGTCTTAGTACTTGTCTCGGACTCGATCTCGTTTGGACTCGGTCTTGTCTCTCACTCAAGGTCTGACACTCAACAAGTGCGATCATATTTGAACGTGAAGCAAAAACGAGTCTAAATTTGTGTTCCAGTGTTGGCACAAAGCAGGTCTACAGCATAGAGCGGATCTACAGAACAGACCTACTGCCACATTTGGCTGAAGTTTGTCTAACAAAAGTGCACAAATGCATCTGTGTTTGTCACGATGTGCGTTTGGTTTGGTAAACGTGCAGAGGCTGGTAAATATCACTGCAAAACCAGAAAAGAATGAAACTCCAATTTGGAACTTTAAAAAACAGGTTTAAAAATCTTACCTACTTCCTTCACTTTTTTCACAGTTTTGTGTAAAGTGCCAGAGGAAGTTCTCTTAAAGAAGGGGTTCTCAAACTGTGGGTGAGGGTCCAGAAAAAGGGGCACAGAGTGTTTCAGTGCAGTTTGCTTGGCTTTGTAGTAGGTAGATCATTTTGACTTGGTCATTTTGTAAGTAGCTCGCATGCTGAAAAAGTGTGAGCACCCCTGGTTTAGACAGTGACGGGGCTTAAAAACGCGAAAATCTGAACCCACCCTCCAGAGTGGAAAAGTTGAATATGCTCTACCATAGTGTTTCTGTCTGCACTGCCCAAGACGCAAAACTCTGGTCAGATCTGCTCAGGTCGTGTATGCGTTTATGTCACCGAGTAGCGTCACCACCGAGCCGCCTGACATGCATACTAAATCTAATTCCACACACTTTAGCCTAAGTAGTTAAAGGGTTGGTTGTTTTCTTTTATCTGTGAATTCCCAGATAAAAAGTTCCACGAAGTTAAAGTGAGAATTAGGTCGCGGTCGTGTGTGTGAAATATGGGTCATGTATTCTATAGTTTGTTAAACATCTTAGATCCTCAAACACAAGTTCAGACTGTGCACAGCTTTCTTCAGTACAGACTCCAGGGCTGCTCTACTTTTGGGAACGAAAATATTTAGGTCAGAAATAAAAGCACCACAGCCTGAAGAAGAAGTGTAATCTGCTCATTTATTCACTAAACTTAACATTCTTAATATTTATGGGATTAATATTTATCAAATTTGTATTTTTATGTATACAGTTTTTTTTACAATTCAACAACGATCCCCGAACATTTCACATTTTATTTTAAAACCAATGCAGAGATTCACAGATACAAAACTCGTCAAATTCATAATTTTCATGTTCCAAAATTTGTCACATCAAGAGCTCAGTTTTGCCGACGATACAGAGGCTGTAAATTCTGGAGCCAGTTTTTTACATCTGGTTAGTGACGGCAGTTCAGAGGCGTTGTTTAAAAAGAGTTTGAGGAAATGTTTGATATTTCATGCTAATGTTTATTAATCTTTCAATTGTGGATGTTTCATTGTGTTTTAATCCATGTTTGAATCAAAAGAATTTAATCCATGGTGTTTAAATGTCATTTTTCTATATATATGTACATTTTTATGCGCAATGATAATGTAAAATTTTTTATATATTCATGAGGTCGAGGCTTTAATATTACGCCCTGTTTGGTTTTTTGCCTCTTCTGGCACCTACTTTTTATCTAGTGTGTCTTTTTATTGTCATGTTATATGTGCAAAATAAATAAATAAAATTAATTAATAGTAGTTTGAATCATGTATCAATGTATTCTTTGAAAAGTTTAAGCTCCTATATTACACAAAATTAACTCTTGTGAGCTTTTAGACATCATATAATGTTGTTACCGAATCAAAAACAGACCTGGAGTTGTGTTTTGTTTCATTCATGGATTTACAGGGTTTGTTCGTTAAAACATGTGAATGAAACAAAACACAACTCCGGCTTTGTGATGAGGAAACAACATTATAACATAGATCAGAAAATAGCGTAATATGGGCTCTTTAAAACAAGATAAAATATTCAGAAAGAGTAGGTACAAGTAAATCCTCACAAACATTTGCTTTACAGAATCATGTTGACCATTTAAATGACTCAGTTCTTGGAAAGTAGCATCCATTTCCAAGAGGACAAAGGTTGAGTCTGTGATTAAAAAAACACAATTTCACAGATAACTATATAGCCCCTGGTCACTAATTGCGTTTCTACTGTTTGAAGTGAAGTTGTAATCATTTTTTATCTTTAAACAGACTCTTTACTTCAACATTGTGCAGCTGTTTTATTGTTCTCAGTTATAGGTTATTGAACTTAAGCAATTTCCTCTTTCAGCCGTTTAAGTACACAGCTGTAATTTTAAAACAACTTTGGAAAAAAAAACCTGCTGAATTATTGATGATAAGAAGAGACTGGTGTCAGGGAGGGCAAAGCGACTACAAAAACTAAAATCTGATTTTAGCTTAAACATTTTGCCACAATTCCCTTAACCTTAACTCTTTTTTAATAACTTTTTGCAGCAGTTTTCTTATTTTCTGGATGAATGAGTAAATGAAAATCCTAAGAAGACCTATTCAGCAAAATCATCTTCTTTTTTTTTTAGAACTTTTAACCATGCTTCCCTTTCTCATTTCCGCTCTCGAAGTTATATTTGGAGGGATTTCTTCATCTCTGAGTAATCTTTAATCTCTTTTCAAGACATCATATTGCCGA